GACGAGGAGGAGGAGGAGGACGATGAGGCGGGGAGCGACGCGAGTAGCGGCGGCGGGGACGCGCAGGGGACGCCGCCGCGGCCACCGCCCCGTACGATCGCCGGCATGACGAAGGAGGAGCGGAAGGAGTATCACAAGTCCGTGAAGGAGGCGAACCGCGAGCGTCGGGCAAATAAGAAGAAAAACAAGAATGCAAAAAAGAAGAAGCAAAAGTAGCAAGTCACGCAACGGAGGGCGAGAGCGAAAAAAAAACAACAACAACAAAAAACATAAATGTTCCCGAGTAGCGGTTAACCTTTTATATAAGCCAGTTGAAGTCGTTGATGCGCACATGCATCTGTGCATCTAAAGCGGGTGCAGGAGGCAAAGTGTCAGGGGCAGGAAGCACGCGCCCTGGCGAAGGAGCGTGTTGGTAGCAACGATGACGCGGGCGTAACATTTCCAGCTGGCTGTTTGTTTCTTCTGGATGCCGGCGCATTACCCCCCAGTTCCGATCAGAGTTTGAACAGTACATGTGTATGTGTGTATGCGTTTGTCTCCTCCTTCTTTTTTCTCCTTTTTTTTCCTACTCGTTGTTGTATGGGGAGAAGAGATGCTGCGTTGTTCGCCACAATGCCTTCTCTTCAGTGGGCTGGGCCGCACAAAGCTCGGCGCTGAGGTGCTGATGAAGACGCGCTGCGAGATGCGGGAGATGTCGCAGTCGGACAATCGCTTTTTTCGTTTCCTGACGCGGCGGCGGCCGATTGACTACCTGGCGCTTGAGGTGGACGGCCCCGTCACGAGGGAGCTGCACCCGTCCTTCCGCATCATGAAAAACGTGTGCACATTCCTACTTGTGGCCCCAGTCTTTGCCCTGCTGGTGACGGGCGTCTTGTCGCCGAGCTACTACGTGCTGGTGCCGACAGGCCTCCTCACGGCGGACCAGTTCGAGCGCATGTGGGAGTTCTCGCACTGGGCGGTTGTCCTCGCCGGCCAACTCTGCCTGTTCCTCGTCTTCTACGACCTCACGGTGTACGTGCGGTACCCCCTCTTCTCCCACGTGCTGGCGCCGTTCTACCGTCGGATGGGGTGGCGGCGCTCGCAGCTGCGGTCGCAGGCCAAGACGCTTGACGAGTTGCAGCGGCGCCGACCGCACGCGCGACCGCTCGGCGTCCCGCTGAGTGAAGCGAAGCGGGCGTCGCGTGATGTGCGGCGCCCCGACCCTTTCGGGGGCCGGCAGAAGAAAAGGGAGTAGTAACGGGGGAGGGGGACGCTGCGGCGCGTGCCCACTTTTCTTTTCTCACTCTGCGCATGTGCGCGGTTTGGGTCGTGCCTTTCTGCGCCATCGTCCTGCCGCTTTGCTCCGGTAGCGCGTAGAGAGAAAAGCGCGAATGCAACGCCGGCTTCTCTCCCACTTCGCTTTTTTTTTATTTGTTTGTCCCGGCGCCCCCGCTCTCCACGGCGGCGGCGGCGACAGCAGCAGCAGCAGCAGTAGACGTGGTGGAGGCCTCGCGTCTGGTGGCGGTGTCCCTGCGGTCCAAATTTTGCAGAAAGAACGCCGACGCACGAGACGCTTCACTTGAGCCGCCCCGCGTTTATTTAGCATCAACCGAAGAGAGGAGGAGTTTGGCGGAGATGCACTTCGCCCTGCCGCCCGAGTATATTCGCTCGCTACAACAGGCGGAAGCCGCCAGGGTGAGGGCTGCGCAGGAAAAGGTGCCAAACCTCTACCACGCCTTCGAGGACCCGCGGCAGCTGCAGGAGTGGGGGGCCGCCGCTCCCCAACAGGCCCCTCAGGGCGTGCATGAGCAGCCGCAGCAGCAGCAGGCGTACTACAATTACCCACAACCACAGCCGCAGCAGCAGGCTTCGTATGCCCAATATCCACAGCAGCAGGGCATGCAGGCCCAGCAACCGCAACAGCCGCAGGGGTTTTCGCAGGCGGCGCGGGCAGGCCAACGGTCCCCGCCGCGCTCACCGTCCCCGCAGCCGTATTCACAGACGAATGCACAAACGCAGCCCTCTGACAGTGTCATCTGCTGGGATGTTCAGCTCGCCAGGTCGCATGACAAAAGCAAATTTCTTGACCATCCCTCCATTCCAAGGTTTTTGCACTTGCATTTGGCGGAAGACATGGCACGGCTGCCACGAACGCCGCCGTATATCTCGCCTGTGAGCCGCATTATAATGCGACCAACGTTTCAGTGCCTGCCAGGCACCTCGCAGCTGGCGGAGACGCTCCAGCTGCCGTTAGGTATTACGTTTCAGCCCTTTGCGGACACCCATTTACCCGAAGTGGATCTTTCAACACTGGGAGGTAAGATGATTCGCTGTCGCAAGTGCTCTGCTTACATTAACCCATTCACCACCTTCTGTGAACAAGGGCGGCGCTGGCAATGCATTATGTGCCGGCAGTTGAATGAGGTCCCTCAGGAATACTTTTGTGCTCTGGACCCCCAGACGGGGTTGCGCGCGGATGTGTTGCAGCGGCCAGAGCTTACGTACTGCTCTGTGGACTTTTATCCAACGCCTGAATTTCTGCGCCGTCCACCGCATCGTCCTGCATTTCTGCTCATGCTAGACTGCTCGTATCAGGCGATCGCTTCAGGGCAGCTGCGTGCCATTTGCCGCGGCGTCCTTTCGGCACTTGAAACGATGAAAAATGAGGATGCCCTGTACATGGGCGTCATCGGATTTGCCTCAACGCTGTACTTCTTCAACTTGGGGCCCACGCTGCAGTCCCCGTGCACCATCGTCGCCCCCGATATTGTGCACGATGTGTGTAACGTGGACGACAACTTCAAGTTTGAGCCCATTGAGCTTCCATGTGCCGTGAATGAGCTGATGGTGCAGGTGAAGGACGCCTACCGTCTCTTGAAGGTTCTCTTCGAGACCCTGCCGGAGACGTTTGCCACCACAAAAGACGTGGGCTGTGCGTTTGGGCCGGCGCTGGCGGCTGCCATTTCAATGCTGGAGAACAGCGGCGGGAAGATTGTCGCGAGCATCGACGCCATGCCGTCCATCGGCGAGGGGAAATTGAAGCCCCGCTTTGACATTGCAAAGTTGTCGAATCAGCCAAAGGAGTACACGGTGTGCTTGGCCGCGAGTGACTGGTACAAGCAACGTGCGCTGGCGTGCTCGAACAGCAACATTTCTATCGATCTGTTCGTCAGCGGCGCCCAGGACGTGGATTTGACGACTATCGCCCCCTTGGCCCGCTTCACTTCGGGCAGCATTTACCGCTCCACGCCGCTCACCATCAACGGGGTGCCGGAGCAGGTGCACCGCATGCTCACACGCTACATGGCCTTTGAGGCCATTCTGCGGGTGCGTACCTCCAACGGTTTGGTGGTGCCGAACTTTTACGGCCACTGCCACGTGCGGGAGCCGGACCTCCTCGCGCTTCCGGTGGGTGACGAGGACTCGTCGTACTCTGTTCAGTTGCAGATTGGGTCCGAGCTGAAGACAAGCTTTGCGTACATTCAGGTCGCCATTGTGCACACAAACCGCGCGCGTGAGCGACGCATCCGTGTGCACACCTACCAGCTGGGCGTGTCGCCGTCTCTCAGCGCCGTGGTGAACTCTGCCGACTCGCTGGGGGTCACCTGCTTCCTCTGCAAAATGGCTGTTGACTTCTCTGTCAATGGGCCCTTTCAGCAGGCGGAAAAGCGCGTCACCGATAAGCTGCTTGCGACGCTGCGGGCCGTGAAGAAGCACAACGACGGGCTGGGTTTGCGCTGCGGACACTTTATGCTGCCGGAATCGCTGCGGTTTGTGCCGCAACTGTTGCACGGCTTTTTTAGGGGCGCGGCGGTGGGGTTGTCCACCTCAACGCCTATTCTCCCGGATGAGCGTGTGGCTGCCATGTCGATGGTGATGTCCACTGCCCCTTACGCCATGTTGCCGTACTACACAGGCTGGTCCTACGAGGTGTACTCCCCCTATGCCGCGCCGGAGAACTTTCCCGTGCCTATTTTTCCGACACAGTCGTACTTCAGGTCCGATGGCATTTTCCTTGTGCACCTTGGCTCCACACTGGTGCTGTGGTACGGGCGGAAGGCAGATGCCCACGTGGTGGAGGCCTTTGGTCTCACACCGAGCGAGGAGGCCCCGCGTTCCGCGCAGCCGCTCATCACGGAGGAGCAGCTTGTCGCCCTGCGTGGTCGCTTTGACGCCCTCGTGTGGCAGTTGCTCGAGGGTGTTCGGAATGCGTTTAGTGCCCCCTTGGAGGCATGTCCGCAGGGCAACTCCGTGATTGAGCCTGCACTGACGCGGATGATGATGGAGGACGAGGTGCAAACGCTCCCGAGCTACACGACGTTCCTGCGTGACTTGTGGCAAAAGGTGTCGGCCACGGGGAGGTGAGACAGCCGCTCCGCGCCGGAGCACGGCACTGCGGAGGGGAGGATGTTTGTCTGCGTGTTTGTCTTCGCCCCGCTTCACCCTTCGCCGCTGTGCAGGAGGGTGGGGGGTGGGTGGGTGACGTGAGAAGTGACTGGGGACCCAGCGGCGTGTGCGCCTGGTGGGGGGGGGGGGGGGCTGAGAGCGATCAAAGCAGGGGTCAACGCGGTCTCCAGATGGAATTTGTACACCAACAGCTATATAACCTGCCCAACTTCCGCCCACCCGAACTCAGCACGGGTCTCGAGGTAAGCAGCACTGCCGACCACAGCAAAAGGGAGAGGGCAAGGGGCGACGCCCACGCGGACAAGGAAACAAGGAGAGTAGAAAGTAAAACACATTGCAAACGGGTATATACATATATATCAAAAAATACGCTGCAACTCGGCAACACGAATGAAATAAAAAAGGAGATTCTGAATAGAAGGAAGTGAAGGAGGGGGGAGGGGGCGACGTTGACTTGTGTGTGTGTGTGTGTTTCTTGGCTCGTGCGAAACTCCTCGCGACGTCGCACCCTTTAAAAAAAAAATAAAATATTTCTGCTCCATTCACAAGTTCACCCCATAGACATGCCTACATGTATGTATATCCGTGTACGCCTGTTTGTGGGTCTGACTGCGACCTCTGAAAGATCTGTTCCCCCCCCCCCGCGCGCCTGTAGTCGACAGTTTCATTAGCCCCAGTTCCCCAGGGTCGTCACGCGACAAGTTGCACGGCCTGGTGAAGAAATTATAAAGAAAAGGTAAACCAAAGGAAAAAGAGATTAACGTAATGCGTTGCACTTATATTGCGGCGTTGCTGCTGCTGTTACTGGGGACCGTTCAGGCGGCAACGGGGGTTGCTGCGGAGTACGGCGACCGCAGCCTTGCGAAGGGCAGCCGCGATGAGCAAATTGTCTTCTGGGAGGAGGAGATCGACAGGCTGCGCGGCGGGGACATGGCCAAGGCGTACCAGACCCTCTACTCGAGCCAGCTCGCCCTAGCTGAGGCGAGGAAGCAGAGTGGGTGGCTCTTCACAAGCGCAGAGGCCAAGGCCCGCATTAAGATGCTGGACGCGGAATACGAAAAGAACCTGGCGGCCCTAACTGCGCTGAAGCAGGAGGAGGAAAGGATGCTGGCCAAGGTGAAGCCGCTCTACGGTATTGTCTCACGCCGGTTTGCGCAGGAGCAACGCCACGCCATAGTGGACGCGGTGAAACAGGTGCAAGAGATGAGCTACGTCCAGGCGTGGTACAACTCCCTCCTTGACCTTGGCAACTCTGAGACGCTCACGGACGTTATTGTTGGCTTTCTTGGGCAGTGGCTGCTGGGCTACGTCGTCATGTATCATTTTGCGGCCGTTTACTACGCACTTTGGACGGCGCCGTGGAACATCTACGCCTACTCCTCTGGGCCGTCGGATGTGCTCGTGGGAGTCCTTGCGTGGTGCGTGTGCGTCGCCATCATGCTGCTCCCGGTGCTGGCGCTTGTGGGCGGCTGCTTGTACTTGCGACGGTACTACGGTGACCGCGTGGCGGAGGCGCTGAACAGGGCCAGAAATCGTGAACGAAGACGAGACTGACCGCGGGAAGCGCTTTGTGATGACACCTTTCAGTGGGAGAAGCTTCAACAACAGTAACTGCAATGATCTCTGTGTGTGCGTGTGTGTGGCTCGTATTGGGGCTTTCCTGCGCGCCTTGGGACAATACGCAAGCTGGGTGTGGGTGAACCGCCACTTTTTCTGTGTGTTTTTTATATGCGTTTTTTTATTGCTTTCGGCGTTCCACGATTTACCCCTTCTGCTCTTGTGTGTGCCCACGTGGTACTGCGCCAGTGGTTTTTTTCCCCCCGTTTCGTTGTTTTTTTTGTGCGTCTTCTTCGCTGGGTTGCTGCTGCTGCGCGACGGCGGGGCGGCTTGGGGAGGTTCCAAAGGCACGAAGGGGGACGCCGCACACACACACACACACACAGAAAAGGGTACGAGGCGGGAAGCGGCAGCGAGCCGGCACACGGATGGCTGACGGGGAAAACGCGGAGGACACGCGTCCCACCTCGACGCTGGTCGTCCCGCCGCCCCTCGCCAACGTGCTGCGCCCACATCAGGTTGACGCGCTGCATTTTTTGTGGAGGAAACTCGTGGACGAGGGCATACAGCGTGTCCTACGGGCGAGCCTGGCGGCGCCGTTGGCGGAGCGGGTGCGTCTCTACCAGGAGCTGTTTGGCTGCGTCATTGCCCACTCGATGGGCCTTGGCAAGACCGTCACCGTCCTGAGTTTTCTCCTGCTGCTTCAGCAGCGCTACGCCGTCGGAGAGGCGGCGGCACCAGCGATACGCGCCCTCGTGCTGACCCCGCGCAGTTGCACGTATCAGTGGCAGTGCAGTGCGGCGGAGTGGATGCTCCCCGCGTTGTTCGGTGACACGGCTCTCCCCGTGTACGCCCCACTGGGCTCCCGCAGGCCCGCGAAGACCATCCTGGAATTCTACCAAAGAGGTGGCATTCTTCTTCTGGGCTACGAGGAGTACCTGAAGCTTCTTCGACGGGCAAAGGAGGGCGTCGTGGGCTCGCAAGTCTACACCCGCGTCAAGTCTTTGTTTGATTACTTGCGGCCACCGCTACCGCTGAGCAGCCAGCTGTCTTTGCTGGAGGTGCTGGAAAGCCCTGACGTGGTGGTTCTGGACGAGTCGCATCGGCTGAAGCGCACCAACTCTAAACTTGTGGGGAGTCTAATGGAGCACCTACGGGGAGTGCAGCTGCGGGTGGCGCTGACAGGCACGCCGCTGCAGAACCACTTGGAGGAGTACAATGTCATGTACTCTGTTGTGACAGGGGCCATGATGCAACCCGGGTCCTTCCGCCGCCTCTTTACGCTTCCCATTGAACGAGGGCAGTGCGCGGACTCCACTTTTCAGCAGTTTGTGGAGATGCAGAAGTGCGTGGCGTCGCTGCGGCGCTTCTTTGGGGCCACGATGCATCACTGTGGACCGGAGGTCCTTGAACGGGAACTTCCGCCGCGACGCGAGTACGTCATTCTCGTCGGGTTGTCGCCAAAGCAGGAGGCGGCGTACCGAGCCATGCTGAAGACCTACACGAGGGGCGAAACCAACCGCGTCATCCTCCCGCTTCACCACGAGGCCTCCCACGTCTGTTTTCACCCCGCGTTGACGCGGCAGCGGGCGCGGGAGGTGACGCACGCTTCGTGCGACAGGGCAGCTCCAAGTGCGCTGCCGAGCGCCGCCGTGGATGAGCGGGGGAGCAGTGGGGAGGAGAGCGGCTTCTCCGCCACCTCGTCGGAGGAGACGGCTTCAGACGAGTTCAATGAGGCAGACCTTGAGGTGGCCATGGAGCACCTCAATGTGGCGGAGTCGCCGAAGCTCGCGCTAGCGCTTTCGCTGCTGTGGCACATCAGCGAGGAGTTGCACGAGAAGGTGGTGCTCTTCTCCACGTACAGGAGCCACCTGTTCCTCTTGCAGCGGCTGCTGCGGCAACGGGGCATGCTGGCGGACGTGATGCAGGGAGGGTTGGATGTACGGGAACGTCAGCGCATTATTGAACGCTTCACCGAGGATGCCTCCCGCTTGGCTCTGCTCTGCTCCACAAAGGCGAGCGGCGTGGGCATTAACCTGGTGGCGGCGAACCACTGCATTTTGTTTGACGTGAGTTGGAACCCGGCCGACGACACGCAGGCGACATACCGCCTCTACCGCTACGGACAGAAGCGGCCTGTGACCATCTACCGCATCGCGTCTGACGGAACGTTTGAGCACGTCGTCTTTTTCTACGCCCTGAGCAAGGCGTGGCTTCACAAGAAGATTGTGGACGTGGCGGACCCCACGCGGTACGAGCGTCACATGAAGGAGAACTACTTTGTGTATCCCTGTGGGGTGCCGATTGACTTTGAGCGCGGCGACGGCAAGGAGGAAGAGCGCGCTCCGCTTCCAAACAATGAGGCGGCGCAGCAACGCTGGCGCGAGTACGCCGCCCGCCACTGCCCCGCCCTCACGCTTACGGCGCCGGACGGGACATTTGCGTGGATACGCTCCATCTCTGAGCACTCCTTCTTGCTGCGTGACAATACCGACGAGGTGATTCGGGAGATGGGGAAGCGGTTTGCGACGCAGGTGCAGCTGCCCAGTCTGCCCATAGTGCTGGAGCCCGCACACGCCGAGGACTCCTTCCTGCAGGACGCGCGGGATTTACTGCTGCAGCGGTGTGAGGTGGCGCTACAAGTCTGTCTCTGTGACGGCGCGGCGCACCTGGTGGCCGCCGTGCGCCGGCAGTCGGAGGATGCCTCTGCGGAGGAAAAGGCGGTGGACACGAGCAAAACTGAGAAGTTGCTATGCGGCCTATTTGCGACGGTGGTGGGCGTTGATGCGCCAGCGGAGGGATTGGCCGAGGTGCTGGCCATCTTATTTCACCGTGGCGTGGAAGCGGTGATGCGGACCAGCTTGAATAGACCATCCTACGCAAAGTTGCGCGCCTTTCTCAGTGGCAGGTTGGGTGGCGATAACCAGACAGGTGAGTCGCTGTTGGAGTGGCTGCGATTTCGTCCCTGTACTCTCTTTTCCCGCATGGCGCCTGTAGAGGCCACCTACACTCTGACCGAGATGGGGCTTTTGCGGCCTTTTGTGCCGCATTGCACTCTCCTCGGCGTGTCGCTGGCGTTGGACGGGAGCAAGGCGCCGAAGGAAGCGCTACAGGCGATGCACCGCCTATTTGCCTCTCCAGACCCGCCGGACGGTGACGGGGAAACAACCGAGCAGTTGGCGGCGAAGGCGGTGACACGCTGCCTCGAGGCCTTGTGGCCGCCGTGTGAGGGGCTGTCGCTCCCAGACGTCCCTGCCAACCTTGAGGCGAGGCAGCGTCTCACGGAGCGGGCGTACCGAAGCGCACGAGAGCGCGTGAGCGGATTCTTCTCCGTGAAGGAGGCGGCAAAGTGTCTCGGGCTTCGTGCCGTCCATGGGCGCCGCGACTTGTACTACTGCAAACGCTGCTCGGATGGCCTGTTGGACAGGACGCCGCCAGACGCCGTCCTAACTTGTGGCCGCTGCCACTACAACGCGGAGTTTGCACTGCAGACGCACCCCGACGCGCGTCACGCCTGTGCTCTCTATCAGTTCTCCGTGCTTTCTGTGCTGCTGGATGCCTTCTCCGTCTCGCGCAGCTTCACGACGGCGTTTGTTCCGACTGCGTGCCGTGACGTTCTTCAGGTTCTTCGACAGCTTCGAAACGCACGCATGGTGCAGGTCTCGAAGAACTTCACCTCCGACGCACTGGAGATCGGGATCGACGCATTGCTCTCTGGTATGCCGGAGACGACGGCATCGCTGTTGCGCCTGCAGTCCGGCGCGGCGGACACGACGGCGCTGAAGCGCCTCTTGGCGGCGGATTCGAGCCGTGTCTGGTCGACCGTGCTGCGGAGCCACGTCCGGGAGCGGGTGCTGGGCTGGTTCAGGGCAACGACGACGACGACGACGACGACGACGACGACGACGACGGGCGGCGCCAATGCACAGGCGATGGCAATGCCTGAGATGCTGCTGGTGCTGGCGCTGCAGTCCCTCGCGAGGAACTTCGCCGGCGGCGGCGCCAACGCCAAAGACCTCCTCCTCCTCGGCCGCACGCAAAGCCGCGAGGCGGCGATGCTGCGTTTTATCTGCGATGGACTCGTGAAGCTCATTTACGCCGAGCGGCTGCTGGCGAACCCACTCACCCGGGCCTCGCTGGACGCATTCATGGTGGAGTACGCGACCCCCAGCGGGAGCAGCGGGAGCAGTGAGCGGCGTAGCCGCAACAGCAGCGTCCGCCGCAGGCGTCGGGAAGAGGGCGACAACGGCAGCCATGCGTCGGGCTCCTCCACGTCTGCCAGCATCGCTTCTGTGGCCCGCCGCGCTTGTGCGCGGAAGCGGCGGCGGCAATCACCCGTTGCTTCGTACTCCAGTGCCTCCAGCGTGTCTAGCGCCTCCTCATCCTTTAGCTCCTGCTACTCCGACGACGAGGGGGATGACAAAAACGCGACGTCCAACTCGAAGAGTGCGGCGGAGCGTGCCCGCCGGGAAATGATAGAGTCGGAGGAGGTGCTGCGCCTGCGGTCAGTGCAGTACTGGGCGGCGTACTGCGAGGTCTACGGAACCTGCAGCATAGAGTCGCTGACGGTGATGGTGGAGGATGAGGAGAATGGGATGAGCATTCTGCCGCCGCCACCGAACAGCTTCTGGGTGAGTGAGGTGAAGCGGGCAACACGCGAGGGCATGCGACTGGCCACCGTGGCGGACGAGTTTCTCGCAAAAATAATGCCGTTGACTGCGGCGGCGCGCGTTATCAAGTAACCTGCGGGGGCAAGCATAAAAGCGGAGGCAGTTGTCCACGGTAAGTGGCGGTGATGATTGAGCGGCGCCGGAAAGCGGGCGGGCGGGTGACTCTCTCTTTCTCGCCTACTATGCGCGTGCTTGCGTTGTGGTGGGTTGTTTGCATCACTGGGGTAGAGGCCTGGCCTGCGTGCTATGCGCTTTTTTTTCTTTTTTCTTCTTTCCTCCTCCTCCTCGTGGCTCCCGCCTGCCCTCTTCGTCTGCGCGTGTGGGCGGGCGCGCAGAGCTGAGGCGGGGTGGCGGGCGGGCGCGGGAAGCATGAGCGTCTACGAGGACTCCTTCGAGGGCAGCGACACAACCTCCTCGTGGTCGTCGTCGCCGCCGTCGCCGTTGCGAGGGAATTTCACGCCCAAACCCGACGTGGTTGAGCCGCAGCCGCGGCAGTCCGCCCCTCCCGCGCCGGTTCCGGTGCCCGTGAAGCAGGCGCTGGCCGACACTTCGGGGCCGCTCGGCGACACGGCCACTTCCACCGCCACGGCCGCCACGGCGGAGGAGGGGGCCGCTGCTGCGGCTGCTGGTGCCCCGTTCGCCCTGCTGCGTCCTGCGGCAGCGGCGTCGTCCGTCGCCTCCACCGACTCGTCTCCGAGGAAGGAGTTAAAGAGCAGCTCCGTCGTGGGTGATGCGGGAGGGAGGGGGAGGGACACGGCGTCTGGCGACACGACGTACTCCAACATAGAGAGGAAGTTGGGTGGAATCAACGCAGCCGGCACCGACGAGTTTCAGGCGCTGACGTCATACGTCGCGTTTGGTGACTCCCCGCCGAGCTCAACGGGGGTCGCCTCTGCCGCGGCCGACGGCGGCAAGAAGGGCTCACGCGACACCGCTGCCGACACAGCAGTGGGGGATGCTCTGCCGACGAAAACTCCGGCCGCGGTTGTGCCTCTGTTGACAGAAGCGGAGGATCCCTCTTTATTGCAGGATAGCAGCGTCCTCAGCACACTCTCGCAGCATCTCAGGAAGTCGCTGCCACAGGGGGAGGGGCCCAATTCCGCCGCGCAGTTGAGGGCGGCTGCCGCGACTGCCGCCTCCGCCATCGCGGGTCCTCCGGGAGTGGCGGCAGCGAAGGGCGGTGGCGGCGCCATGGCCCCGTTGCTCTTGACGCAGCCTGCGGCCTCGGTCCCGTCCTTGTCGCCGTCGAAGGGGCCTCCAGCTCCGCCGGCCGCCCCGCCCCGGTTGGAGGGCGTGCTTGCCAGTCTGCCGCCCCCACTTCCGTCCAGGGACCCGCGGCAGGACCCCAAAATTGTGGAGCTGCGCGAGACGTCGGAGGCGGTGGAGCGTTTGGTGCGCGCCTTTGCGCTTTTGCGTGGGCACGTCGCCGCGTCCTCGCCCGACCCGCTTGCCGACGCAAAGGCAGCCTACGCCACGAAGGACACGGAACAGCTGTCGAGCCTTCGACAACAACACGGCGTGGGGGATGCGGCAACCGTGCGGATGCGTCACACGAGCAGTCGACGCCCGTATTTGTCGAGGCCAAAGCCCGCCGACGCCGCGCAGGACGCGAATGAAACGGCCGCGCTGCAGCTAAATGAGGCCGCAGTGGAGGACGCCATTATGTGCCTCGTCATGGAACTGATGCAGAGGGACGCGAAGCAGCCGTTTGAGAACAACATAGAAAGGAAGGCGATACACCCATCCCTAGAGGTGGTGGGCATGGATAACTTTCAAGCGGCCCCTCCGTCAAAGCCGCATAGAGTTCGTGGAACTGTAACGAAGGAACTCGCTTCTTTTTCCGTTTTTGAGGGTGGGATGCAGGCATTTGCCCCGGGGGACACCGACGCCTCGGATTCCTTGTACAACAGCGTCTTTCAGGCGCTACAAAAGTACGTGTGGGCGCACGTGGCCGCGTCAACGCGGCTTGCGAGCAGCCACTTTCCACCTGTGAGTGCCCACTTTGCATGGGTCCTGCAGCTGGACTTGCTATTGGTCTGCATGCAGGCCCTTGAAAGCCGCTTTGCCGGAGACCGTGCGGGGACAAGGGATGGCTCAGCGGTGTTGATTCAATACGAAGGCTCACGCGAGGCGGAGCCGCTTGCGCGTAATGCTGCTCACTGCCTGCCGTTTGAGGCGCTGGATGCGAGGCGGCGCGAGAAGCCCGTGTTCCGCCTCGAATATTGGGTGACAAAAGAGAAGCTGTGGACCGTCGTGGAGGCGCTCACCGCCTCCATTCGTGAGGGCGTCGTTGCCCGCTCTGACGGCTACCGGGCCTTCTCCAGCGAATACGACGAGGAGCTGCGCATAGACCCCAATGCGCTGCTCCCGACGCGGGTTCCGCTCTTCTCACTGGTTGCGCCTCAGCGTCTGGGGGCAGCCGAGGAGGAGGAGAGACACGACCTCCGGAAGGGGCCCACGCGGAAGGAAGAAGAGGAGTCAAGCACAAACTTCTTTCACATACATCCAAAGACGCTCGAGTCACTTGCGCACGCGGTGTCAACCGCCGGCACTGAGCTCCTTGAAGCCGACGTTAGAACTGCTGGGAAACGCACACACTATGCACAACGCTACCAGGATGCCACAGCCGCGGTGACAGAGGCGGTGTGTGAGCTACTGGGGGACGCGGGGATCCGCGCCGCTGTCCAGCGCCGCGCCACGGCGAAGCTGACGGAGTTGGCCAAACGGCGTGAAGCGGACAACACAGTGAGTCGACAAGAGAAGGAGCGTCGTCTTATTGAGGCTGCCGAAGAGGAGGCAGAGCGGGTGGTGCAGAGGATCCTGCAGGAGATGCGAGTAGAGGAGGCCAGAGATACATGACGTGTTCCCTTCTACATATACATATATATATATATATATGTTCTCAGTGTGTGCCTGTGGATTGTTTTTTTTTTGGCGTTTGTTTCCCTTTTTTTTTTGTTTCTTGTTGGTGTGTGCGTTTGCTCTGCCCTTCTGCCGCGGGCGCTGGCGCGAGCGCTCTGGGTGACAGGCGATGGGTGTTGCCGTGCCGTGCGTGCCCTTTCCCCCCAATCCACCCTCAGGCGTCTCTCGCGCTGTGCGTGGGGTTGCTGCGCCCAAGTGTGGCTCGACTGCGACCACACCCCTCCTCCTCTGGGCGCGTGCGTGTGTGTGTGTGTGCCCGTGCTGCGGTGACAGGTATACTCTTCTCCCTGCTGGACACTTCATCAGCGTGACACGCCAGACAGACATACAGACAGACAGACAGAGGGGACGTCAGCGAGGGAGATCAGCACACACACACACACAAAGAGAGACAGAGAAGCAAATATCTTTATACATATATATATATATATATATATAAGTACCTCCACGGAAAGAGACGGCTCTGTGCGTCGCATCTGCACTTGTTCGTGTTGCAGTTTCTTTGAGCGTGGACCCGTTGTGTGTGTCTGTGTGTGTGTGTGTGTGTCTTCCTGCCCGGCTAGAAACTGTCGCCTTAAGTCCTCATCACCACCGCGAATTGCGTGTGCGGGCTGGCCGAAGAAGATACACAAGC